CTTCAGCCAGAGTCGAAAGGTCAGAAACTCGGCCACGTGGCACCAGTACGTTGAATAATCTGCAGAATTTCAAAGAAAAGTAGGATCAGTGCTCTGAGTTCGCCGGAAATGACGTCATAGCGTCATCTTCATCATCATCATGGGCAGCAAAGATCACTGACATTTACAGCGCGTCTTCTTATTTCCTTCAGGATTCATGGATGAATACAATAAATTGTCAACACTCCACATTATTTTCGGATTTTGCACATTTTTAAGATCGATCTTTTTACTTTGAAAATGCAGGAGGAGCAAATAAGTTTTTGCTAAAACGAGGTATGCTTCAGCGACCGTTTACGTGCATTTTTCGAGACAGGTACTTATGACGACATGTTCGTTGATCATATACTCATATTATACATGCAGGTCTTTTGATGTATAGACCATTTGATAGATGGTGAATAAATATCAGCGTGCATCTGGCAAAGTAAAGAAAGGTTTTGAAACAGCAAAAAAATTTCGTTATAACAAATTTCACTCAGTAAAATCTGTTCGCACTGAAGTCCGCATTCGAGGCATGGAAAAACCTTATTTATTGTTGAAGATTGCTGCAACGAAACTTCAATAATTTCGTGGCAGCATGTATACCACCGAACAGGCCTCAAAGAAGAATTGATTTTATTGGCACAATAATTCGCTATAACGATGAGAGTACTTCTGAAGAGATTCGTTGGGACGAAATTCTGCAAATTTTTATTGATTTCTCCCAAAATAGCGCAGACAACACATTTTTAAGACGATGATCACGGATTACTTTTTAGTGTTAATCTTTACAAGATTATACTTGCATCAGCATCTTTACGCGGTTTCATAATTTATATCTTCATCCATTGATGTTATCCAGACGGACTCGTCTCGGAATAATTGACCTTCGAATAACCTTCGGATTAAAAATTATGCGCATAAATTGACATGTTGACGAATTCAAGTCGGTTATTATTATGGACAATCGGCTGTCCTCTTATATATCAACGTTCTCGAGCTGAGCGATCACGACACTTTTTTCAGCAACTTTCGCCATGTCAGTCGATGTACATATAATTTGTGGGGCTCGATTCCAAGGATCCCGATCGAAAAGTCCCGCAATTTTTAGCCCAAGGCGTTGTTTTCTTTTTCCGCTGCTCGAAGAAGCAGGAGATCCTATTTTCATCGTCTCTGTGTGATCGATGGGTGATCACGGATGCGGGAAAACGAGTTTCCAACACGCTGGTCTATACATGCAGTATATACGTACGTCTTGTTGTGCATTGTCGGATGAATAGCATCACGAACTCAATTTTTCCCCGTTTCCTCTTTGCAAGACGAGAACAAATGATCTCACCGCGTTTATGTACGCAGTATACAATATATATATATATATATATGTATACGAAAATGCCGTAATGAAACTGCGGTATATCAAGAGGCAATATTCTGCCCAGTGTTCATCTATATACACACCGGAGTCACGCACGAATGCTTCTGGTTGGAAATCGGCGTGTTTTCCTTGACTGCTGTACCCTGTATAGAGTTTTGTATTCGACGATTTGTATTCATATGGCTTCTGTACGGGAAGTGCTTCGCATGACCTGACTGCTCCATTCCGCAAAAGCACGATTTCTTCTCGTTCTCAACTACAGTATACGAATTGGATACAGTAAATTTTAAACCAAGAGATTTGCGTGATTTATCTTGCGATGAGAATGACTGAAGCGTGGTTTAGGGAACGAAATCTCGATCGCTGTATAAAGTTACAATATTGTTTTTATTATCCTTCCAAACAAGGAGCTTGAAATTTATTGCATGAACTGTCAAGCTATCGGATATATAGTGATAGAGAAAATTCATGAGGTAAATGCCGTACAACATCCATCCTTAAAATGCATCATACAACGAAGTTTTTGAAGAATTTATCCTACAATTCAACAATCGCAATTCAAACCTACAGTATTTCGCGAAGATATTCACAAAAGTCACCCGAGCATTATATTATTGAATGAGAATCTCATAATTTGCAACGCGCATTTTCCGCCTTTCTGACGTTTTTTTTTCATTAAAAAATGATTGGATGTTTCAGCAGAATTGTACAGGATTGCAGTAGAGTTGAACCTCACTAAGTCAAACCTCCGTATATAAGCCAAATGCCTCCCGAAGTTGGATTTTTGTCTAGTCCCCGACTAAATGTCCTTTAGAAACAATAATGCATTAAAAGCCTTCTTAACTAGAAGGCTTTTCTTAACTAGAAGGCTTTTCCTCTGAAACCTCTTTTAGTCAAATTTTTGTTTCATTGAAACAGGAAAGAAAAAACAATAAAAAATGGAAGTTGATGTGCTTTGACAGAATGTGCCAGGCAAAGTTGGTCAAATGAACCCAGGTCTCCAAGTAAGAGTGCCCTGTCAACTTATTTTAGAAGCAACTATATTAAGACCCAGAATATCACAATGTACAGTTTAGTGTAATTCTTCAACATTTCCCACAATAGAAATGCTTGATTCCATAAGTCAAACATCTGTACAGTAATTCTAAATACTATAAGTAGAAACCTCTCCAAGTCAAAGCCTCCTTAAGTCAATTTTTTTTGCTGGTCCTTGAAATTCCCCTTAGAGAGGTTCAACTGAATTCAGAAATTTGTCTGTACCTGGCTTCTCCGTAATTGCTGCTTTGCATAACCTCAGGGCTATGCTTTCCTTTCAAAAAAGAGCGATTTATTTCTCAGGCCAAAAGTTAGTATACTGATGTATACATTTTTCGAAGATGCGCCTGCTTTATTTTGCGATGTGAATGGCTGTTGAAGTGCTGTCGATATTGCAAGATTCAATTTTTACCATATCATTGAATTGTTTACACAGCTATTCGGAAACAGGTGGACTGTGCCACTTACTGTTAGATCAATGTAAATGTCGTGATTTGGGATTAGGGTCCTCTCTTCAGAAATATTACTTATATACCCAGGATAAAAACGAGCAAGTAAACATACAGCAAAGATGGAAGACGTTCGGCTCATCAGTATTAATTAGGATCAAATCTTGGGATCAAATCTGCATTATTAAAATACCGGGTTGATGAAGACGATAGACAATCTCGTATTGTTCACGTTACAGCAGGAGAATCCCTCTCATTCGGATTTCGAGGGACCATGAATTCCATTGACCATGTTAAAATTGTTGATCTATCAGGGGAAGCCACTTGAGTTACATTTAAAATGTACCATTTCAATTTCAGCTGATTTTTCAGAATCGGAGAAAAATTCTGCGAAGCATGCTGGTACAGACATGAAAAAGTATTGCTTTATTCTTATAACCTTCGCGAAAAAGTTAGCTCGCAATGAACAAACAACCATCCACCCAAAGGAAAACGCACTAAAAAAAACATGGAATCATGATGATTCAACTCGACGTCAGCTGAATAAATTTTAGAAATGTGCTTCGCGTGTGACTAGAAACGAATAGATCAATTACAAGTCGGTGGGATAACTTCTACATAGAGACTCCTTCGTCTGCTGGAAGCTGTTTCACCTTTTCTCGTTTTGATACCATTAAAACTTCATGAGCAAGGAGTCGTCCGAAGTAGTTTCCTGACTTGCGTTCCAGACAATATGGGCTCCGGCGCCGCGACGCACAAATAATATCTGAAGAAAAATACCCACAAAAACACAGGACGAAATTATAGTATTTTTTCCTTTCCTGTTCTGAGAACGAAAGTTTCTAAATAGTACACTCAGAAGTTCTTGATTTAGATTCCGCCGATCCGAATAACATTGTAAGAAGTTTTGTCATACTTCATATATGCATGTATTATTCCGGAACATGTTCGTCCTGTTTAACCGAAACGACTCACGATGAGGGAAAGTTTCAAGTTCGTATCAGTATTTTCAATCAAGTTTTCTGGGTACTGTAGAAGTTTCCGAGTCGGAATCCGATAAAACTTTACTGTTGGGGATTTATAACGAAACGTGGATGAACTCTCCGTTCATTCACAAAAAGAAATAATCATATTTGTAGTTCTGACTCGAGCAACTTCTTCCTGAGTAATCGAGATTCAAAGACTTCCTTCGAATCTATCCGCATCGTCATCTCGAGCAAAAAAACAACTGAAATTGGACACATATCAAAATGGTCGTCAGTGCGACATTATTCCCAATTAGACTTTTTGCAGTAAAAAATCTTTTTTTTTTACTGCGGCTGAAATTATTTTAAAAAAATATTACATTGTTAAACGCGGTAATTTAAAAACGGGCAAGAGCGATGTGTTAGTCTTATTTTCCTAAAGAAATTGGGGAAATTATGAGTTTAAATTCTTTTCAGGTCTGTTGAGTATAAACATCTGAGCAGCGATCAGTTATTATTACGTATTGAATATTCCTTTGCAGAAATTAAGAATACATTCCTGTATATGTTCATCTATCTTAAAAAAAGTTTCACAGCGTAAACACTGGGTTGACAACATATATGAATAAACTTTCCAACATTCAGGATTTCCCAATAGCGTCGCCAAACGAAAGCTCGCGTCGATTCTTCAATATGCTAGCAGAAGTCTCATCGGTCGACTTCGTATAATTGCTGACAATGGGTTTTCGTCATCCTTAAATTTTTGGGATTATTTAGCTAATCTACAATGCGCACAATATTCTAACCTCAGATGCAACTTCTCACTCTCCAATTCGAGACCTTGGAGATAAAAGGAAGCCAGCGATGACCCGGATTGTCTCACGCCGTCTGCTTTGAAGCCGATGAGCGCTGGCAGCTCGTCGAACTGGTGATGAGCAGGCAGAAGGATGATGGACGATATTTTCGCTCCATTTCTTCCAGACGCCCCGGAAGCTTTGCTATTGCATGAAAATCATCAATACATACCAAGAAATAACAGTACAATAAACATATTGGAAAATTGTCAGACCGAATCCACGCCGAAATAAGCTGAGATTTATACAACGCATTCGATTTATATGATCAGATAGGTCCAGACGCTTTGCCTCGATGACTGTCATCGCAATCAGGTTCCAAGTGCTCACTATATTCCTCCTTAATTTTCAAGCGAAGCTTTTTTATAGGAAGTACTGCGCATGTACTTTTTCCTTGCAGATAGAAAAGAAGCAACCTGTGAATTATAGACAATTTTTCAATGTATACCTCGAAATAGTGTAAGTGCCCAGTGTCTCGTTGTCCACAGCACTCTTCTCCAAGAACGTCAAGCTCAAATGACCTGGGAGATGGTCATTGGACGTCTCGGGTTGATAAACCGTCAATCGGTACATTTCACCTGAAACGACAAGAAATCAATGTTTAAGATATCACCTTCACTTTTAAAGAAATTATTTCAATTTATCATTATCATTAGCAAAGGCATGTGATCTGCTTTTTGGAATGCGCGGATTACGGATGGCTACGTTTTACAGAGAGCACAGCATAATGGGATTTTCTTCCCGAGTATTCGCCACACATTCGACCATTTTGGAAACATACGTCCGATCAAAACTCTCCATAAGTCGAACTTGGATCCATGATGGAGGAACTAACAAAAAATAAAATCGACTTAGGGAGATTTCCAGTCAGGGAAACAAGCTTTTTGTTGAGGGATAGAAGAAAGAATATTTACAGAAAATTTAAATTCGCGAATTTCTGGGCCTTTAATTGATTTACTGTATAAATGAGCGTCATGCTGAATTCGGATGATCAGGGGTTTTTGCCGCAATATTATTTCATCTCGTTTTAAAATGCATCATACACTTTTACTGCTTCTATCTCTTGTATCAATGAAATAATATCCAAAAAGCTTCAAGAAAATTAAACCTATGGAGGTGTGAAACTTCACAGTCTGGAGGTTTTTTAATGCATTGTTTCTATAATAAGGGACTTAAACAGGGAACAAAAACGAGATAGGGAGGTATCCGACTTATTCGGGAAATTCGAGTTATCGCGGTTCAATCATAACGTATTGCAAATATTGTTTTTTTTTTCATTTTCTTTGGAGAAATGAAAGGCACTATTCATTCATAAACGTGATCTTTCTATACCATTATAATAATAAACCAAAGCGGCCTTTCTTACTGTTTGTGTTCTCGATTCGAGTCTGGAAAAGCGATGTCTTCATGAAACGTAACATCTAAAGTTCTAAACGATACTAATACAAGATTGTTTTTCTGGAATTATTGTCCCGGTAATCGTGCCCAATATAATATTCAAAGCCCAAAGTCAAAAATTATCTTCTCCGATGAATCAAACAGCTCACGTAAGGCACAGATTTTCCATCTGTAAAACCTTTGTTTCCTATGAATGCAACCGAAAAATGAGTTTTCTCAATGGTCACTCGCTGAAATGCTACAAAAACGAGAAGCGAGAAACTGTTATTGAACAAGATTGATTCCGAAGTCAGTAACTTCGGTCAGATATGTCATAAAATAAATTGGGCGCCTCGATCGGAAATATCTCCGTATCGATCAAGAACATCGTCGGGAATTAATGCCTTCAGAACCCAATTGCAGGGGAATATGGACTGCTGATGAATCCCTTCACCGATTCCCGCCGGATGACCTTGTCAAAGCAACAAGATGTGAAACAAATGAATGAATCAAGAAGTACCGCAGAAATTGGAGAGCTGAGTGCGAGCCTTGCCGTGGGTCAGCAGGTACTGCTTCCCGCGACCCGCTGCCTTGTCGGCGAAATAACCCATTTCCCCGCAACCAGATTCGCCACAGGAGAAACAGGCCGAACTTCCAACGAAATCCGTGGCGAAATCCTCCAGGTTCGGACACGGAAAAGACACGAACCTGCAATTTTTCTCACGATGGCTCTTGATGGATTCCGTGAAATAATGGTACGCCCTCCGGTGATTGCAGTTCCGACCGTCTTGACCGGCTGCGTGTATAGAAAAAAGGAAAGCAATTCATCGGCACTGGAGTCATCACAGATTATGGATATTCAGCAATGAAAATCGTGAAAAAATCGACAACTTTCATATAGAACAGGATGATAATGCCTTCAATTGAAAAAAAACTGCCGCAAGGATGAGCGAGATGAAATGAATGCGCAAGAGCCGAAGAAACCCTGAAATCAGCTTGGTTTGGCTCACAAAAATAACACGAAAAATATTTGATGCATGGAAAATTACAGAGGGATTGAGCCAATACGTATTGGCTCAATGCTTCTGAAATTACGTCTAAAAACTGTAGACGACAAAATACTATATTCACACAAAAAATTCTGTTCCGAAGATGCTACCGATTTTCTTATGATTTCCAGGGCAAAGTCACGAGTCTTACTTCCACAGAGGCTCAAAAAAACTTCAATTCCCATTCTCATAGGTCCCAATATTTTATTTATTCGAGGAGGAAGTTGTGATTTTTCTTCCTCCTTCACGTTTGCTCACATTCCTTCACGACACGAACGCAACTTGCCAAAATATGCACATTCTTGCTGGTTCAATATTGTCTCATGAACGGAGAAATAACCCAAATTGTTTGCTGTTCTACAGTTGAAGCTAGTTGGAATACTTCTCAAGCAAGGAAACTATTCTTTCAACAAAGGGAACGAGTCGATCTCAAATAAAAATTTCCCGAATAAGTTCTCAAATTTATGATTTATCTTCTTTGCTTGTAATAAAAAACAAGACATATAGCAGTGACCGTTCTCTATTTGCAAAGCATTCCGCGAGGACGAGTTTTTTTTCCCTAAAAATTTGCCACATTTCAACAGAACAGTCAATAGAAGTACTGTATTTCTCATTGGACAATGCACAAAGTGCAGCCTCAAGCCCAACATAGGAAGACAAATCGCAATTACGAAGATAAACTCAAACTTATGCTGAACACTACAAATCCCCCAGAAAGTAGGCAAGATATAAAGTTAAACACTCCCTGGCTTCGCGAAGTCAAAGTTACGTACTAGAATATATTCTTAAAACTTCTAAAACAAAGAAAAGCTTCCAAAACTTGGACCGTTCATTACCATCCAAGTCAAAAGTTCTATAAATTGGACCCATTCAACAGAAACACAAAATATGCTCGATCCAGTCGGCATGCATCACCTTGCACTATCAATTATGCACAGGGTAAAATGGAAATCAATATCGTAAAATAGAGCAGCAAACAGTTTCAATAATAAGCCGTTCAACAATACGTTCATAACTTTCAGTCGTGCTTCGTTTTCCACAGGGTCGACCGCAAAAAGTCGGTAATGAAAATAAAAACGCAGTCCATCCCAATCTAAACGGTGCATCGGGATAACTCGTCAAATTCAACTTATTTCAAATCTCAGAAATAATTCAATCTTTTGGTATATGACCACCAATGCAATGAGAGTTTTCTCTTGAGTACCTCTGGAAAAGAGGCGAAAATATCGGTAAAACTTCATCGGTTTATTTTTTTAAGAATCCCCCGAGAAGAAACGACATGTGAAAAAAAAATCCATTGTAAGAAATAAATCCTCAAATTATTTCGTAGCTAATGTGTTTCACAGCCAGCATGCAGAATGAAGCTATGCTCTATTATACATTTATACAGCAGCTCATGATTCGAAACCTCATCAAAATTGGAGCATTTCAAGGTGTCGGCACTCGGCAAATGGCGTAACTCACTGAACAGGTCCAAAATGGCACCGATGAAAAGGTTTCTGCATCCCGGTTGAGCCAATCCTCCGTTCGGATAGAAATCCACGTGACCCGTGTCGATGAATGCTCCCTGACCTCCGAGCCACAGCGGCTGGCCGTTAGTGTGCAAAATGTCCACGAATTTCGCGTCTGAAGCGTCCAAATGAGTGTCTTCTGGGTAATTTCGGCCGACGAAAAGCGGCGCAGCGGGTTCCAGACCTTTTCAATGGCCGCCCCAACAATGCATGTGAGCTCACCGAGTTACCGAATTACGAGGACTTGAGCAACGAAGCGTTGCCAACGTACCTGTTATTCTGCCCACCAGGCTGTCGTTTCTCTCGTGCTTCAACCAGTTCGCAGCGTGACCGGAAACCTGGGCTCCCAGACTGAATCCTGCGTGTTTTCAGAGTTCAAATCATATTTCAGGCACTCACGAATCGATTCATCATCGGATCCACACACAAAATGTATCATTATATAGAAGAATAACATGCGCATATACATACAAATGGCAGTTGATCTCGGGCGAAATTAAATTTTTATCTTTTTTATTTTACCAACAATGGTGTGTAAGCAAAATTAAAAGAAGTTGAGAGAATCAGATCATTTCCGTGTATTCTCTGGATCTTCTTTTATTACTTTAATATTATTTTCGCAACATATTTTTTAGCCAACTGCTGCCAATTTGTCTCCGATGAATGACAAAGCAAAAAATTCGATGAACCCTTCATCAATACAATATGCGTGATTTCTGAATAAATAATGCTAACGAATCCCTGATAAAAGTCAAATTAATTCAATCGAAAGCTTAGCAAAATTTGTACAAATATTCTTCAGTGATGCTCGTAAAAAGTTTTTGAATGATACTGGACGTACAGAATATAAATTCACAGTTCTACAAGAAACGCCGTACAGTATTGAAACGAAAATTTAAGAAATATTTTGTTTTTAGATCTGAAGAGTTGAGAATGTGGTTATTTCAGAGAAAAATATGTCAAAAAGTGACATGGAAAGAATTTAATCACTGAGACAGTAAAATTATTGAACCAATATGATGCTGGCAATTTTTTTCGAACTTTGCTGAAGAAATCCCGACATCCCGCGAGCACTGAACTAAAACATTCGTAGGAATAGTCAGAACGACTACCGACGGTTTTTTATACTCGGCGATTTGAGATTTTTTCTTCTCGCAAATTATGAAACAATACCAAGGACGTTTCAGCAATGCTTCCATACAAGCACTCAACTTTTATACGGAAAGAATAAAAATTTCCTGACCGATGATATGGATGTCATCTAATTTGACGCCATTGTCGACGAGTTGCGAGATGAAATGTGCCAACACCCGTCCGACGAGTTCACTGTTGGCGGCGCTTTGGACGTAATTCCGGAAATGTGCTCCCTTTTCCCAGTCGACGGCGAAAATGTTCATCGTCGAGTCCTGAGTTTCGCAGGAAAAATGAGGAATAAACACAAAAAGAAGCAGAATCGAAATAAAAACGGGCCGACGGACGCTTTCCTTCATCTCTGCGCTTTGTTGACGACAAAAACACCAGCGAACAAACGTCAAAATGACGCGTTTCTCTGGTGGATTTCTTCTTGATGAATGTCAGCATCAATCAACCAAGAGGAAAATGCTATATCTTTAGTTGTCACTTGAAAAATTAATTTTGCGAGCATAAACAGCATATTATTTTTGATACAAAGAAGATGTGACATGAAGCATTAAAAATCCCCACAAACTGTTCATCATGAACGCATACTTCGGAATCGAGGTGCTCGTATACAAGTATAAGCGTATTTCATAACTATAATGCGAACTGTCAAGTATTCTAAAAGTGAAGCAGATAGCGTTAGAATCTTTCAGATTAAATTTTTACATCCTGATGAAATAATGCACACGGAAGTCAAAATCCTGCGCTTTAGAAAGCTGATGTTGATCAAAAATCTCATCCTCAAACTTCCAGCATCTAAGCTCCAGACGAGCCGCCATCTCGAACAGCTGTCGAAAATACTTACAATTCCCGTCAATCATCAGTAAATTTGAAATGTTCTCATATCTCCTGAATATGGTTTCAGGCGAAGATTAATAAAGAACAAGCATCAGATATAAAGTACTGACGTAGTTCAAAAATATTTCCTTTTCTGAAATAATAAGGGAATAAGAAAATCAACTGATGTCCTATAGCTTGTCCTGCGCCTGCTCTATATCCATTTTCAAACTCCCGTTTTCCACAGAAAAAAAAATTTCACAAAACGCAGGCAATCCGTTGAAGGCTATTTCAATAGCTTCTTTAGTTCTCAAAGTGCTGACTTCATACGGAGCCGAAAGCCTCGTTTTTCCTTTTTATTCTAAAGATCTGAAATGCTTTACTGCTGCAGTCGCACGGATTGTACAAATCTTCGAAAATTTGAGCTGTTGGCGACATCTATCATAACAAGATGAAGTTATCATGAAAAACTTCCTCCCAACACGGAGTGGGGATTTCGATCGAGTTGACCCGTTCGATCGAGTTTTTCGTGCATAAAAGCTTACAACAAGAAGAAAAAAGAAAGGAAAGAAAAAAATTTCTCTGCAGAGTCGGCACCTGCATTAATCTGAAAAAGTTTGAACTATTAATATAATACAGTATAATTTAACAGCATACTACAATGTGCAATTAAATTCAGGATGGATCACAGAAAACAGACCTCAACCGTCTGCCGGAATTGACGCCGAAGAATGATTCATTGGAATTTGGGATGCAAAACTATACTCTATGACCTTTTCTGGAATTAATCTGGAAATTTTGAAAAATAACCTGCTATTAAGAAATGTTTAAAATAGTTTTTACAATTATTATTACTTAATTATTTAATTACTGGTGAATTCGCCGAGCTTTGGAGCAAGTTGTCTACACCAAATGACCAACAGGTCCGTCGTGCACTCGTCTGGCATTAATATGGATTTCGACGTGAATATTGATTGAATGACGCTCGCGCAAGTTTCACAAGTAGGAGAAACATCTTGGAAAAAAATGTAATTCGTTCTCTTTCGATAAGAGCTCTTTCTCTAGCACTCCTAGAAAAAAAGTGTACCTGCCTCGTCCAGCAACGCGTCTCGCATATCGTTGATCCAACCGGAATAGCCCGAATCCATGTAACCATGAATGATGAATTTGATGGGTTTGTCCGCTTTGAAACTGGTGTTCTGCATGAGTATCAAAACGTCAGTGGTTTTGACGATCAAGGGACTGACTCTCGACTCGTTCGTGTACAGCAAGTACTTGACGTCTACCTCCTCCGGTGACACTGGCAGAGTGTTCAAGTGGCTCATGGGTCCCCATTGGGTCGAAAAACAACCGAGGTCCTCTGCTTCAACATATAGCAGGCAATGCATTAATCAATAGCTTCGTGAAAAAATCCCATAGACAGGAATTCCATCTGAACCAGGGCACCTCATTTTTTTTTAATTTTCAAGCAACTCGGACAGCTCTTTAAAAATGTGTGGGTTCATCCGACATCTTATACTCCCAAGGACTGGGTTTCTATCGACATCTAACATCACTGGAAGAAAGAATAATTATACTGTAGTCGTCCCAGCATGGTCTTTAAAATCATGCTGCAGCATTTTCTTTTTTTACCTAGTCCGTCGAACTTCCCCAAAAATGTTGACCATCGAAATTCTTCGGATTGTGTAATACATTTCTTCCGGTTTTAGCTGTAAAAAGTTCTTACTGTATTATAAATAATATTTTTGGAGTAATCTACTGTGCTTGAAAGAATGACGTCCTAAATATTAGCCGAATAGGGGAATATGTTCTAGATAGAAAACTGCAACGCCAGACAAAGCTGTGATTCTAAAAAAAAAGTTTAAAAGGATATTTCAAGTTGATGAAGTTTAAATGATGTACTGTAGCGTCGTATATGTTTACATTTCTGGTAAATATTATCATCATCATGGCCGCTCTTCAGTTTGCAAAAATTACGATCACATAAGGTACCTTCCTGGATCAGACAGTAATTCTTCATGCCGTAAATTTTCAAGTTTGACTAAAATTAACTGATGCGCCGCTCAGTTTATTACATAAGAAATACACTAGAAATGTATATCTTATTGTTAATACAGTATTAAAAAAATAGGTCTACACTAAGGCTTACCATTGTCTTCTTCGCCTCAGATTTTCACAGAGATCAAAATCTACAATCGTCCTGAAGCTCTGGCTTTGGAATTGGAGATGATTAAAATGGCATCGTAAACTAACCACATACGAGTATTCAGCTCAAAAATAAATACGCAATCGCCATTCGAATGTTCGTGGTGTTAAAACAGCATTAAGACCGAAGTCCGTTTTTCATTAGTCACAGTCACAGTTCTCGAGATGTCATAAACTGAAGAACATATTCTTCTCATTTCGACACTTTTTCCAAAAATCAGTTATTTTCGAATAGCTACAGCGATTACTGTGCATCATACGGTAAAACATGTGAAAATGTGACATGAAAATGATTCGAAAGCTGTCGTACTGGACTTCGATAGGAGTTGCCTTTTTTTTTTTTGTCCGCTGCATCTCTTCATGGATACATGCGGATTGGAAAGTGGTCCGGATTTCCGGGTCACCCTGTCCGTGCAGTTCTTTCCATTTTAGCGTGTCATTTATTCAACGAAAGCGCAAATTCACCTCGGATCTTGTGTACCACCTGGTCGGTTATTCCCTCATATGTAGGTGCGCCAACGGCGGGAAGAAAAAAGACCCGCAATATCGAACGACAACACATGACGTATAGCAATGACGAAGTCACTCACTGAAGCAAATGTCTCGGTCGAAAGTTTTCAGTTCCGCGGGGTCAGATACGGACAAGTCGGCGCCGTGGGAATACGTCTCGTTGCCAGCGAAAGCGTCGGACGTGCGGAACGTCTGCAAGTCCATTTGCAGGGAGAGTAGTCCTTGTTGCTGCTGCTGCTGCTGGTGGTGGTGGTGGGGGTGGTGCTGTGGCTCCTGCTGCTGGCCACGGCTAGTCACTGCGGGGTACTCTGCTTTCAGAATCTTGATGAGACTCCTCGAGCGGGTGATGAAGTTCCCAATCCTCGACCCGTCCAACCCTGGTCACAATGCCAGAACAAGAGTCAGCCAAAGGAATTTCTGTACATATCTGCACCGCACTCCACGCACAATCCCGTATTTTCCGCGGATTTTGAGAATTGATAATGAATTCCTCTCAAAAATATTTCTATATACAGTATATCAGTAACAACAAACAATCATTTTAAACTACCGTACCATCCTTTACTGTACTAACAAGGAAGTATTGAATAGAAAAGCTAATTCTTACAAGCAATTGATGAGTTTCGTGGAAGAATCACAATTAAAACGACGATGGGAAGCAGTCATCAGAATTTCGTTAGATTCATTTAAGAATTTAGAAATGGCTCATTTTTCTCAATAAGCAGCGCATGAAAAAAAAAATCCTCCATTTCATGGAACACACAGTTGTACTGATGTATACCCTTCTTGTACACATATTTTTCGGTTCTCTTTGTAAATCAGTAAGGTCAGGGCATTTTAACAAAGTTTGAAGCATTTTCGGTTTTAAAAAGAGGACATTCTAAAATTTACATTTTTCTTACGAGTCCGCCAAGAAAACTTGTGAATAGTCACAATTCTGTACATTTGCATGGGGCGCGCATTTCAGAGCATGTGCTGTGACCTGTTTCCCAAAAAATTATTATAGGCATAAACGCACTAAATACCGTGAATCTTATTAAAACAATTTATAACAGCAAATGTTTCTATAGCTCCTTGGAATTTCGTTGTAACAAGATTCTACTGTACTGATGCATATCACATTTCCGCAGAGCGGCAGAAGAAGGAAGGAATGGTTCACGATTTTTGTCAGTACTGTACGTTAAGAAGTGAATTTTTGAAATCCAAAGTTCGGAAAACGCGAATTATAAATCAGAGAACCATCACACGTTAAACGATAAAACAAAAGATTTACTTTCCATTTTCTCGCAGACGAGGAAGTATGAATCAAACGAACTGGCTAATTTTCGCATGCAACGAAGTTTCGTGCAATAATCGCGAGTAAAATACTGAGAACTGCTTCCCATGCTCAAAAAATAAAATTATAATTCATCACATTTCACCCACGCGGCAGAGAATGGAAGGGATGGTTCGAAAGTTTTTCCAGGACCTCCAGATAGCTTGTGTTTGGGATTTGCTATTTTTTTTTTGAACACAAGTTTACGAGTCAGAATTCACAGAAATCAACATGCGCGACCAAAAGACAAGACTTTCATTTACCAAGCTTTCACAATACTACTAAGATCTCAGACCTGGCGAACAGAGGCTTTTTCCTACCCGTCTATTCATGTTTTAACGCGGCCTCCACACGTAGCTTTAGTAGTACACCTTTCTGGACGATGAGAATTTGTACTTCCATCGGATCATGGTTGGAAGGACTGGAATTTCTCACCAGAAATTTCTTTGGTATCATTTGAAAAGCTTGGTAGCAGTTAATCTGTTCGCGCACATTCATAAGCCTTACAAGACAAGCGGGGCAGTTGGCAAACCTCATTTCCCTCAATGACAGGATTCTGGGTCTATCTCTTCATTCCGCAATCTTCGGCCATGAAAAAGACGAAGCATTACACTTTTAAAATAACGTACACCTAATTCATTCATAGGCAGCCCAACACTACTGACAAAACTTTTGAACGAGCCCGCGTAATTCACAGGCAGAATCTGAAATGAATGAAGGACCCGCATGGTGTCGGCCGGCAATCGGAAGCCAGAAGCACGTCGGGAGGAAGAAGTAAAAGTTTATTCGGATTGCACAATAACCACAACGCAGTCTCAACAGCATGAGCCAACATCTGCGCGAGGAGAAAATCGCCTGCGAGGAAAATCATTTCACTGCCGCCGCCGACGTCAGAGACGAGGAGCCTCGTGGGGAGGCGTTAATTTACCTTCCCGGAAAATCGGCCCTCGACGGGTCAGTTCGCTGAAACTTTGTCAATTTAAGGCAGAATATATAGTTGGTAATGTGTGAGGTAAAGCTTCTACCCTCAACAGACGACGAAAAACGCCGTTGACTCCCACTGGATTTCATCTGGAATACTGTATACAGTAAAATCTCGTTACAACAAACTCCTTGGGACTTTGGAAAAAGTTAACAAATCACTTATTTCAACCAGATTTTTGATATTATTGACTTATTAGAAGATTATCTTTAAATTAGTCCAGCAAGTATCCAATATCTTCCTCTTGTGGCCTTTTCAGATGTTTTTCGGTGTTTAAAATAACTGATCGTTAAAAAATGTATGTTTTGACAAAAAAATTTACCCTGAATAAAAAGTTAACTCTAGCACTTTTTGTTGACTTTTCAAAGCAATTCCTGTACAGACTTGTAGGGATGCATGTTCCAAAAACGTTTACAAATTGTATGCATTACTGCATTAGTAGGGTTTCTCAAGCGTACAACCCAATTTAAGCAAAGTTTTGCTGGGTTTGTTTTCTCCATTTTCTCCATCTCTCCAGTGTACATATGGAAAGTTAGACTACAGTACTTTAGTATGCTTACGACGTCGACCCCTTGAAATTGTTCCTCGTTGCTCTTCTGTACAGGGTCATTCAAGCGCAGCGACATTGGCTAAAACGGGAATATTTCCTGGTGACCTGAAGACGTGATAATGAGTTTTCGTCAAAGAAAAGTGGAAGAATGATTCTCATATTTCCGTTTTCACAAATGTGCGTGGTCTTGGTGGAAGAGGAAAATAAATTTTGTTGGCGATCTTCGGAGTACAACGCCTGCTGCATCGTCTTCTGGAACTGGTGAACAGTGGACAAAAGAAAACGAATGGCAACCGCACTTACTACGCCAGAAATTGTATTACTGTATATGCAATATTCACATTTTCCACAGATCTAAAATTTACTTGGGCCTCCTGGCGCACGACTCATCCCAATCGCCCGGCTATTCGTTTTATTGCAGTCCCTTCAATGATTTGTCGAACGGGAAATTCAACACGAAAAAACGAAGACGTTCTCTTTCTCAAATTATTGAGGCAGTCGATAATCGGAGAACTCAAATTGATTAACATTCATAGTACTGTATACCCAAGTACAGTATAGTTGAATAAAATCGAATGAAAAATAAATGTTCGTTCCAAAGGGACTGACCTGCATGTACATCCAGGAATGTTGTGCCAGTGAGTAGCAGAAAAAACAGGCGGTTGATGAATCTTCCTCCGGATCCCATCGTACACACACACGCACACAAACACAAATGGCTAGCACTTCAAGGAAATGTCCAGGAAGGATTTCTCCTGAACTTTCAACAGGATAGATTCTTCAAAAGATTACTATTGTACATCAGCAATAGTTTGAAATTCATGTTCCCTGTAGAAAAAGGCAAGCATGAAAATTTATGATTGACAGACATCCTCATTCATGCATACTTTTGATATATTCAATAATACACTTCCATTGATTCATTTATTGCAAATCATGAGTTCAATAAGAGGAGGCTATAAATCATGAAATCATAGGTACTGCTGAAAAAAATGCATAATCTGTAAATGTCAAAAAGCACTTGGATGTGTGTTGAAATCTTATCTCAGCATTGCAAAGTGCGAAAACGTACTTGGCAAATCGTTGTCAACTACATCAAAAGAAATTGTCAAGTCCTTTCTCAGAAAGCAGCTCCAAAAATAATTTTAGGATCATCTATGTGAAGGATTTCAACTGCAAATCCTGGAAAATCACCTCCTATTTTATGCAGAACCGGGCCCTTCTGCAAAACCCAGGAATGAACACAAGTCCTATATGGAAAGAAAATTCTGCCAAACCATTCATTTTAGCATTGAAATTTTTTAAAGAAGTATCAATTGAATGAACTGTTCTGGAAGAACCATTTCATCAAAAAATGCATCACACTGATGAGAAATGTCCCCCATGGTTGTGAAACTTGGTTAGTGCCCAAATGTGGAGTACATTAACAGTGCAGATAGATATGGAACTGCAAGTGTGACTGCCCAGAATTCTATGCATACAAACCCCTATCAAGTAACTAACCATCTCACATCTTGAGAGGTGGAAGACTCATGCAGCAGTATACTGTTGACCAATATGCAAATTGAGTCAAGGCAATAACAGTTTGCATGAAAATAACCAAACACTCATTACATACATGTGCCAGAGGGCATCCAAGATTTGACCCCACAGCAGTAGGTTGGCAGAGTAATACTCCCAGCCAATGTTGCTGGCAGCAAATCTTAAAGGAAACAACAATATCATGATGGTATGGCCATTGTCAGGAAATTTTGATAGCTCATGGATCTGTTCCTTGCAGTTACATGCAACACAAAATGGCTAAATATAGCAAACATAATTCATTTTTTGATCTGACCATTTCAGATTTTTCATCCTTGACTGCAATAGGCTTCCATTTGAAACTGAGTGCCATCATGGAGTATATAAAAGCAAATTCAATCTTTGGAAGTGTGCATCATATATGTATATCATTGAATACCAGAAGCCCCTGAATCCACACCATGTGTAAACCAGCCCCACTCTCCTGGGACAATGTCACCCAAAAGTCTTCAGCAAATTGACTGTAGGCAATTGCCCTGATGTTGCCACCCTGCGCAAACCCTACATCATTCTGTGGCTTATGGCTGCTGGCATACCTCCTGAGTCAACTCAAGGGAACCCCTGGGTACCAATTATCATACAACCAGTGACCCAACCATGAACATTGCCAACCATGAACAACTCCTCCTTCCCCACCTTGCCACCCAATTCCTGGCCATCCTGCCATGACCTGAAATGCAGGCAGCATGTCCTGAATTCATCAAGCATACTGCCTCATGGGACTCCGTAGTGGAGAAAGCCAAGGCAGCCCATGAACCCCTAAACCCCACCACACCTAATCGGCACTCTTCTCCAAGAAGATTATGATTTTTTGTTTTACAGGAAAATCTCTAAAGAAGATTCTGTTCAAACCCCTGAAGGGTGCTCCTTTGTTACGGAGATCTTGAGGTTAGAGATCTCATTTATCACTGGTGGCAGCAGTTCCATAGTTGCTACCAAACTCAGCACCCAGACCCCCACAGAAACTAGGGTACATCTGCACAATTATTGTTTATTGGACAATGGTATAAACAATTTCTCAAGGAATTGATAATTCTACAGAGCCTTGAAATGTGACATACCTTGTCATGAAAATACTCAATTTAGGCAAAAGTCTGTTATCCCTCCTTTTAACTCTGAAGCTAACACAAATTTGAAAATAATAATAGCATGCAAAATTGAATTGTACATCTAGTGGAATTTCAATTTTACAACATTGCAGGATATTGATTTTAGATAGAAGCCATAGAAAGTCCCTAATCAAAAATGGAACCAACCTTCATCTCAGCTGATTAATTGATAGATTATTGCTCATCTCTGATTCACCTTAATCAGTGGTGAAAAAAACTGCCTCACCATATAGCCCACAACGTTCTATGCAGACTGCGTGACCCCCACCCATCTCCCAGGAGGACATCACAATCAAGGCCTTCTGCAAATCACTCACCATCACCTTCCCTGACATATGTTAGGCAGGCATGCTACTATACTGACATAAATCCTTAGAATCAGCTTGAGTTTCATCCCCTCCCTAATAAATGCATCAACCAATAGTAGAACCTAACAGTTATTCATTATATCCAAGTCAGTCATGTAAGAGAGTAGAGATCATCATCTGATTTAGCCCAGTTCAATCTTGTAGTAGTTGAAGCAAGAGTTTGCTGAGGAATTGTTAATAATACTTGCGTGTGAAATACACAAGACAGAATTCTGGCCCTGTCCTGTGCTCATAAATGCTTTTTATTTGTGCTAATTTATTAATTATATCCAGTTTGAACACTGACTTACATTGAGGCAACATATGTCACCAATATAAATGGGTAGCACACTATGGTTGTTCAATTTTATTCTTAATATTCACTTTTGCAAATTCATGTCTATACTTTGTTTACATTTATTCCTCATCAACTTACTTCTACCTGTTTAACCTTCATGGAAAATGGGAAACTAAAGACACTTAACTAAAGACACTTTTGCCAGGAAGAGAAACGTCTTTCTTTTACAAACGATTAATCTTAGGTCAAAAACTTCCCAGGATAAACTTTCTGACAAGATTTCAACTCTTATGGCTGGGGTTAAGTGAATCTAGACTTCTAGTTTAGAACAGTGATAACGTATATTTCAGGTGCCTCAAGCAAGAGTCAGACCAACAATGAATATCTGTAGATACACTTAGTGGTACCTTTATAGACTTGAGTAAAGCCAGACACAACTGCAAAACCCAAATGGGCCAAGAGAAAGGGGACTGGGCAAATGACCACAAACCAGACAATGCAAGTGTGACGTGCAATGATCTTGTCTGCTTTGGAGCAGCAAGTTGCTAGGCAGAATTTACAGAACATTCTGGAACGTGGAACACAGAAAGCAGGAAGCAATATTGTTCACTTGTTGTAGGACATATCTTTTTGGTGACAAACTCACTCCTGATAAATTTGAAAAAAAGTTCCACCTTTTCAAAGTCAAAATTTTGAGAAATATTTTCATGAAGTGCAAAAATCCACAAGTGAACTCAAATATCAATGTCAGTTCATGTTTAGACATGCCTGGGCATTGATTCCCATGTGGCACAATCAAAAACAGCAAAACTTGTGAGTATTTGGGTGATATTTTGTCACACACAAATTTTGTGGGGCACCCGTTCTTTGGAATTCTCACAGATGCTGCAGAGTTCATCCAGGTCTATCAAGACTGAAATGTGGCAAAAAGTCACACAATTGAATAAAAACAAGTCTCAAGACTTGATTCTACCCTTCCTGAGACTTGGGAAATGGATTTGAAGCTCAATCCTGTCTAATTTTTGGAAGGGGAAACATTTCTTTCAATGTGAGTTTTTGAAGGTTTTTCTGAGTGTCCCTTGACTGTTTGTGATTTATATTGCTCTCCTAATTATTTTAAACAGTTTTCTTCGTGATTTGGACTGCTGTGTTAGAGACAACAAAAAAAAGATTGACGCAGTGGGAGTTTTGTATGACGACAGACAATGCGCTTGACAGACAACAGAAATTAAGGCCTCAGGGACCCGAAAATCATTCAGAATCAATTAAGAGTCAGTGCAACAGAGATTTCCTCTGAAGAGCAGCAACAAACAGTAACAAAAATGGGAATCTTCAACTTGGTAGCAGTGACATCTACCCTAACTTTGGTAAAGCCAACCCAAAATGTTCTGCTAAAATGTGAAACTGACAAGTACACTTTTGTACGCTTCCAGTTGATTCTGATGGGGGAAGAAATCTCCAGCTGTTCAAGGGTGGCAGACAGGCTTGTCTGCCACCCTTGAGTCCAAGGTTTTCTTCTAATTTGGTTTTGGGTTTGGCTGTGCTTGGTTGGCTTGCTTGTTGTTAAAAAGAAGGAGCTAATGTAAATGAGAGGGAAACTCACTCATTTCCAAATCCCACATTTGATGAAGATTTAGAAATGACTGATATGCCCTCATTGGCAACCATTTGACCTTTCATGGCTTCCTTCCTCAAGTCCATGAACTGCTTTTTACCCTTTTGCCTTTGCTTACTGTTGTTGATTCCAGGTCTGTCCAGAAGGGTTGCATGCAGTGGAAGTCTTTGGCTGGCTGGGGTGGCCCCTGCTGTGTGCCTGGATGCTGAGGAGACTTTGTTCTAGGCTCCCGGCACAGTGGGAGACAACAACTAATCTTAACAAAGCCACAACAACTACTCTGAAGTGTATTCTCTTTAAAACAAATACAACATTGTTACCTTTACTGGGGGCTTGTCCAAATTGGTTGAGCTTCATCATCACCCAACATCATCACCCCTAGATGCATGAGCTACAACCTGCTCACCAATGACATCCTTGTCATGGATCATTTCAGTATATTTGCAGTCGCAGGGCCAGTGCCAACAGCACACTCATCCCACTTGCAACACCTGTTCACCCAACTAGGAGCCCCCAAGGTGCTGCTTTCTGATCCTGGCCCCCAATTCTGAGCCATCACCTTACGCAACCTGCTCCAACAGTACAATGTGCAGCATGATACATCTGGCTGATGCCACTTTGAAGGCAATGGCACACTGGAATGCCTTGTCCAAACCATCAGTGAAATGCTGCCCAAAGCTGGAGCTACTGACCAGACCTGGCCCCAGTACCTCCCACAGGTAGTTGCGCCTACAACTGCTGCCTGCATACCACCAATGGTGCTGAACTGTATGCTGTGTTTTTTAACAAACCCATCCAACTCCCTCTTGACAATGTCCATGGCACATCAGGACTCCCACCCCCAACAACCAACATTGTCTGGAACCATACCTGGCACATCACCTCCACCTG